TATATATATTTCAATTCTTTCAATATCTTTCAGTTTTTTTACCATGTATTGTCAGATTTTAGGATGGACATATATTATACATACATAAACATATTTGTATGAGCTAGATATACATGTTAATACATTCAATTGTTTCTATTTTTATCTGGTTTCTTATATGTTTTTACTTCATTTGCCAATATATTGGAATTATTGACAATTAAACGATTGCAAAGATAAAGGCAATGTCATTTTGTTTCCTTACCCTCCAAGCATCAGGCACTTAATGGTTGGAAAGTAGGAATATTCTACATTTGATTTTGAATGTGAATTTCACCTGTGAGGATTAAAATTATGTGGCAGTAAAGCTTGACATTTGCAGCATGACGATGTTAGCAATGCTTTACGCAGGTGCAACATCAGAGAGCTTTCCATTCAAACTAGTGTGATGGCAGGCATACTGATCAGCTCTGCTGCCACTTGGGCCAAATTCCAGACCGCACTTCAAACACTGAGAGGCTGTGTGCGTGTGTGTGTGTGTGTGTGTATGTGTGTGTGTGTGTGTGTGTCTGTCTCATCTGTTCAAGCAGAATGGTGGTGCTCTTTCAGTTTTCTGAAGAGTCTACAGCCAGACAGATGATTTTCAAGGACTATAAGACTCTTCTGTTCCTGGTTCTTGAGTGCAGATGTAAGATGTGGGATGTTGCGTAACTGATACAGGCGAAGCAATCTCTAACATGCATGATGAGCTACAGACATGTCATCTTTTATGGATGTGAAGAGCAAAATATGACAGGAAGAATTAAAAATGGATGAAGTAAATACTGCGGCAAATAGTGTTGGACTATAATCAACATGACAAAAGTAGAGGGAAAAAAACACTTTTCAAAACAGATATGCTAAAAATGCTGAACAGTCTTTGGTGAGTTAAAGGAATATTCTGGGTTATTTACAACTTTGTTTATGGATATAATTTGAGGAATGCTGCTGATCACTACATAAAAAATAAGTTTATAAAAATAAACAAAATGTATCATTTCATACAACAGCAGCAACAGCAATATGATAAAAGACATTTTTAATTAATGTTTAATTTTTATTAATAATAACTGCTATAATTCTTCTGCCAAGTAAAAAAATAGTTCAATAACCAAACTGTAGGATTTTGCAGCTGTCAAGCATTATTATTAGTATTATTATGAAATTAATGTAGAATTTCTGGACACAGGTGTGTGTTTATCCTGCCAAGTAAAAAAATAGTTCAATAACCAAACTGTAGGATTTTGCAGCTGTCAAGCATTATTATTATTATTATTATTATGAAATTAATGTAGAATTTCTGGACACAGGTGTGTGTTTATTATTATTTTATTTTACAATAATTTACTATATATTATTTTTCACCAGCTTCAACTGTAGCTCATCCAATCAGGGTTGATAATACAAACTATCCATTTTTGATTAAACCGTAAATTTGTCTAAATTATCTGTTTGATGTGAGACTACCTGTTTATATGGAGAATTTTCTGGTTACCAAATGTATCAGCAAAACATGAGTTTGCAGACATGAGTTATATAACTTTGCACAGACAAGGCTGCGTGCAGTTTTAACACACCAGTCTGCTATCAAGCATCCATTCCATTAGTTATGGTTTGTACTGTGAGAGTAACATATTTTAAAAGTTTATTGGCTGTGCTGGCAGCTTTAATGCCAAGCTTCCATTATAAGTGCTGTAATCAACAATGAGCCACAGATTCTGCCCATGGACATTAAGTAATAAATGACCCGGAAAATTCCTTTAACGACTCTTTACGTGAAAATCAATTCATTTGCTATCTTATTGACTAATTTAGTCACTGGTGAAAATGCAAAAGATCACCATGAATGAGCTATGCTCTGAAAACTGACACTATGGGAAATGTAACCATTTGTTACATTGTTGAATCAGTGGTCTCAATCCCATCCTTTAAATCAGGAAGGGTTTATAGCATACCTGCTGGCATGTCTGCCCGTCTCTCAAAGCTGGTAAGTTTGTCTACAAAAGCATCATCTTCTGACATCAGACAATTACGTCAGCCCAAAAGACAGGACAAGAAAGACGACAAAACACAAACAAAAAATAAACGTAATTCAAATTAAATGACAAATAATTGCAAAGAAAACCAAAAAGGTCACAGTCATTAAACTCAGGGTTCAAAATGAATGCACAGCACACATTTAAAATAAAAAAAAGATGAAAACTGAAGAAGAAAAAAATGGAATGGTTAAAAAAAAATATGACCAAAGCTGAAAAAAATCCAAAAGGAAGGAATAGCACATGCAACAGATCCGCTCCGCGAGAATATTTTCAAAATATAACTGGTCCGTGATGTAAAAAAGGTTGGAGACCCCTGATCTATAATACCCAATTAATCCTGACAATATTTCCACTTAAATATGACAAAAGACAAACTATGTGGTGTATCAGCAAATCTGTATTTTTAGCAAACCAATTAATCAATGCAGAATGCTGGAGATTTCACTTTAGTATTTTAAACTAAACAGCATCATCACCATACTGTTTTGGTCCAAACTAAAGCCAAAGCTGTGAAACTATTATGACAGTGAATTCAAAACCGTGCTAAATACTGAGAAACAGAGGCCCTTGAGAAACAGATGCCCTTGTTATGGCAAATTCTAGTTAGAAAGGCAATTTCCAGAGAGGCCACATATAGACAGAGCAGCATGGCAAAGCAGAGAGAATGATGGGAAATGGAGTCACACCTGACACAGACACGGAGAGCTCTTTACCGACGGTGGGAGTGGTGGCTGCACTCAGAGAGTTGGTGGAGGAGATTGAAGAGGTGCTTTCTGCACGGGCCAACGGAGCCAAAGGAGGGGGACTTGACGAGTGTACAGGGGGGCTGAATGACCGATTCTGACAGGAAAAGCAGGGAAATGGAAGAACAGACAGAAGGGAAGTTAGTAATAAAAGAGTAGGGGTTTGTCATTCTGGTCAGATGATCAGGAGGAAATTTACACAAAGCACGCTCTGGCAGTGTTTCTTGCATTTTGTTTCACTAAACTTAAGGTTTTTATTTAAACATTAGTATTACATGGGTAGTAAATATCAACCTAGGCTTGGTCTGGTATTTTGAGGGGTGAGTTCTGACATCCTATAAAAGTAAAACAAATTACATAGTCTATGAAAAGGTCAGTGACATTGAGAATTTGTAGGAAACTAACAGGCACAGTAATAGTATTTGAAAGTACTGTAAATTTTTTTATGTTATCACGTACCATGTCCCCTACGCTTGGTTTTCCAGGAGGCAGTTTGGGTCGTGAGGGTGGCCGAGGAGGGGGAGGGGGAGGAGGAGAGCTGCTGGTAGCCAATGGCGTAGAAGGACGTGCAGGGGAGGAGGAGCCTGTGGAGCGAGAGTATTCCATTAAAGCAAAGCCATTCAAAGAGTAACATGCATCAAGCTCAATTAAGATTTCTTCCCAATTCAAATAAAATGATTGTACATTCAAGAATGTATGATACTTGACTGGAATAGCCTCAGAAATGACCTATACAAGCCAATCTGCTCAGATTAAATAAAACTTTAAGAGAACCATCACACTTTACACAGAGATTATCTGCAGAGATTACAGAAACATTGTAAACAAAAACATTAAAACTTGAAACTGCCATAATATGAACCTCAAAAATGTAGTAGTACGACTCAATGTGCCTATATATAGAAAATGAGGCAAAAAGTGTCAGATACCCTTCATCCCTCTTACTAAGGCGGCACTCTTGTAAAAACCCATATACACGTAACATGATGGTGACTGGAGCAGAACGACTTGAAATTGATATGTATTTCAACATGCAGAACCTTTTGTTACTGCTTATTGCCTTGGGGTATATTCTATAAATCAAAATTTGTTTTTTCCATAACGTGGATTTTTTAAAATATTACTGGTTGCCATTGTTTGAGGGTTAGTTCACCTAAAATTTAGGGCTGCAACTAATGATTTTTTTTCTCCCTTTTTTAACAACATGTCAGCTTCTTTGGCTATGCCAACGGTGAAAGCCAGGTTTAGTTATTCAAAATTAAAAACTTTTTCAAAATTATCAACAGAATAAAACAAGTTTGCAACTAATGATTATTTTGGCAATGAAATGCCAAAACTTGAGCGACTTTCTTTTTACAAGGGCACACAGAAGGAGAAGACTCACCACTTTCATTTACACTCGTACCAGCTGGAGGGATGGGCCCTGGGGACGACACTACTGCCCTGTATGTGGGAGGTGGAGGAGGAGGAGGTGTTGAACGTGGTGCTTGACCAATCTCTTTGGATGAAGCACTGCTCTCACTTGGGTCCTCTTTTGTTGGGTTCTCTTCATGGCTCTTCTTGTCCTCTTGGTTCAGAACCAAGGGTGGAGGGATTGTGCGCTCACTTGTCTCTACAGTGGTTGGCGGGCTGTTGGTTGAGTCTGATTGGGTCTCTGTCAGGGGAGCACATAGTGAAAAGTCTACTATGGAGTGAGAAAGATCATCTGATTTCGGTGGAGGTGGGGCCTCTTCAACCGGAGGAGGCGGGACAGTTGGAGGAGAAGGAGTGGTGTCTATGGGAACAGGTGGGAGTGCTGGCTCTGCAGGAGGAGGTGGAGATTTTGGTAAAGGAGGATTCGGCTCCTCTGATGGAGGGGATGATTTAGGTAATGGGGGTGCTGGTTCTGCTGGGGGAGGTGGAGATGAGGGCAGTGGAGGTGCTGGCTCTCCTTCTGAAGGAGGAGGAGGTCTTTCAGGTGGCTCATCGTTGAAGCAGACCCACTTATCTCCAACATCTTGGCCAGGTTTTGGAGAGTCTTCTGGGCCAAAGATGTTGTCTAGATCAGTTATAGAGGGCCTCTGCAAGGTCTGCCTTGAATTGTCCTCTTCTTTCTGCCCATCTGCATCAGGAACTACACAAATGTCATAGAAAAACAGAAAAATCATAAGCAGACTAAAAGCAGAAGGAAAGACAAAGGAAAAGGCAAGAGATACCAAGTAAAGCTTTTCCCTAAAAAAGAGATATTTACAAGACCAAAGTACCAAGTACCAAAAGACAAGCACAAATGAATCCAGACACACACTCATTGGGGTCAGATATTGATATAGACCAGGGGTGTCCAAACCTGCTCCTGGAGGGCCAACTTCCTGCAGAGTTTAGCTCCAATGTGCCCCAACAGACCTGCCTCAAAGTTTCTAGTATTCCTCAAGACCTTGATTAGCTGGTTGAGGTGTGGTTAATTGGGATTGGAAATACAGTCTGCAGAACCGTAGTCCTCCAGGAGCAGGATTAGACACCCCTGGTATAGACTGAGGCCTGGGTGGTGAGGGCATCTTACCGGTAGGGTCTGTAGCAGGAGATTCAATCGGAGGGGGGGAGGTCGGCACATTCTTAGGCGGAAGCGGAGGCGGAGCTGCAATGACATTAGAGCGGCTGAGACAAGCTCTCACATACACCCCCCCACCCTTGTAGGCCATGCCTCCATGCCCCACAGCACCGTGCAAAGGCAAGGTCTCATTCAGGTAGTCAGGGACAACAGAGAAGGACTGTGGCATGGGATGAATAGCTCAGACTCTATGATAACACTTCACTCTTTGTGACCAACTATTCACACTATTTTCATATTATTTAGGATGTTACATATTTGTTTTTGTTAATATATGTACAAACATCACTTATTTGTTTAGTATGCACTTACTAGGGCTTGCACAGACTAGTCAATTAGTCTATAATTTCTATAATTAGTCCTTTAGTCCAGGGGTTTTCAAATTGGGGCATGTGGACCATCATGGGGCTGCAAGGTTGCTTAGAGGTCCAGAATTTTTTTTGTAAGAGCTTTAAAAAAAAAAAATGTTTATAAAATAATAAATATGCTTAATTAACACTGTATTTTTAATAACACAAACACCAAAGCTTACATCATTACCATTGTGTTCTGCTTTCAATTAACTGGTCAGAAATCATTTATTTTATTTTATTGACATTCCTAGTTTTTAACAATGACAAATCTTTTTCTATTATTATTATTATTTTAATGATTTATAACATGTCTTTATAATATCACACTTAATATGATTCTCACAGAGTATAATGGATAAATAAAGCGATTTTTAGTCTAGTCTTTATGTGGCGGCAACAGGAAGATAATTTCTTCTGCCCGAAAATTGCATCCCAGTTCAGCTGCATGTTATAAGCCTTGAGTAGTAACTTGTAATGGGCAAATATTTGGAGCGCTTTACCATTTTAAACTTTCTCACCCACATCATGTTAGCTGTGTTAGACAAACTTTCCAGCTGGCTGTCAGACCAGTCTTTCAATCATTTACATAAGGTAAACACTGACTCATTTTGCAGTTGACTACTTTCCTAGACCAGTGGTTCCCAACCCTGGTCCTGGAGGCACCCCGACACTGCACATTTTGCATGTCTCCTTTCTGACACACCAATTTCAGGTCTTGGAGTCTTTACTAATGAGCTGATTATCTGAATCAGGTGTGTTTGATTAAGGAGACATGCAAAACATGCAGTGTTGGGGTGCCTCTAGGACCAGGGTTGGGAACCACTGTCCTAGACGACTAGTCATCTAGTAAAAAATATTAGTAGTCATGCAAGCCCTAGTATTGAGACATTTATGTAAAAATACATTTAGAAATATATCACTATTAGCAAGCCAAACTTCATTTAGCCTTAAGCTTAAATCAAGCCACACGTTAGGCTCAGTGTCATTTAGCTTTTTAGACGTTTAGGCAGACATACAAATAGGCCACGTTGAGTAAACCGTCACCAAATGACATGAGTACAAGATGAGCTGGATGACTCTCAGGATTTTGTCTGTTTTCCTGGCTAATGACTTAGAAATTAGTAGGTTAATGGAGACTGCCAAAGGGAAAGTTATTAAAATAAAAATTTGGAGGCAATCATGATTTTTCCACTCAGACAACCATTCACTGTTTTGGAACGTATGGGTTTATGATACCAGGATGATGGCAATCATGCCACACAAGCAATGACTTACTTTCTGTAGGAAAAGGTCTTGCCAGAGAGGAGTCTAGGTGTTGCTCAGGCAGGGGTGCACCCCAAACCTCAGGTTCCTCTATCACCACTAATTTATGGAAGAGGACATGTTACACAGTCGATGGGGGAGCAGAATTAACTGTGTGACTCACAGAGAGGAAGGAATCACCATGCAACACTTATCTATCCCTGTTTCTGTCATAAATCTAACTGATTTCATTTCAACTGCTGCAAATGGAATCGAGTGGGAGGCAACACAACTAGTAAGCACTAATGAATGTTCTGTTCTGAAGTACATGTTACACAAAGCTAAAAAATAGCACTGATAATAGAAGCATACAAACAAACAAACAGTATTCTTAAATACTTTTAGCTGAAAAATAAATGTCATCTTTATACCCTCTGTGAGTCCCTTGAAGATACATATTGTATATGACATAGAAAAATGAATTTTTGTTCAAGTGAATGACATGGACATAAAGAATCTGGGCTGTGATCAGGTTCTGTTGGATTGTGAATGTTTAAATTTCAGTGATTTTATAAATGAAAGATCAACATCTATAAGCAGCACTAAGGGGTAAGTAATTAGCTGTTTCATTAAACAGTACCTTCAGTGGTCTTCTGCTCACTAAAGGCTGTCTCCAGCGGAGGGCCGAATAAGGCTGTTGCATCCTCTGGCACTGGAGATTTCTTATTACTGAAATGGAGGAGAATTAAGCCAGATTTGCATGACTCATCCACACAGATGCACACCAGGCTGCAATTCTCAAATTGTCTAACATAATCCATTTAGACTCACTTAAACATCAACAAATGTTTAAACAACGCTAAGCCACAACAACCAGGGTTATATACTGTATAGCCACACCTTTTAAAATGTAACTTTTTTTTTTTTTTTTTAAATTCTGTTTTCTATTTTGGTTTTCAATTTAAGTTTTACATAGTTTAATTGGATAAAAATGGTGCATAAATACTTTTTTATTTTATTTGTATTTGTTAAAAATAAATATGTTTAGTTTTTTGTTTAGTTTCAATTCTAGACATTTTAGTTCCAGCACAAATTGTTCCATCTACATGTAATGATGCACACTGCAGTTTACACTGCACCAGCACCACACTCAAAATAATAGCATTCAGATTATCAGTTTCTTTGTCAAATTCACAATGGCATGGCATACTTGCAGTACTTGCAGATAATAAAATTATCTGCAAATATTTACCACTACATTTAGAATCAAAATGCAACTTTTGTAACAATGAACAGCATGTAACTTACCTGCAAAAAGCAACCTGAGTTTTAGACATTCACTTTTTTGTTTTATTTTAGTTAATAATTGTTTTTTGCTAGTTGTATTTGTAATAATAACCACGGAAACAACAGACAAAATTACTGTTTCATTAAGTCTGTAAATGTGTGTATAGATACCTAGCAGGCTCAGGAGGGGGTGCAGGTGTCGGGGAAGGGACGGGAGCTGGTGCAGGCGTTGGAACAGGACGTCTCGGTCGTGCAATTTCTTCACCTGAGAATAACAGCATGATCAAATGAACACAAATAAACTGCACCTACTCATACACATGCAAGCACACCTTTATATTCACATTTTAATTCCAGACAACTATTTAGTGTCAGATTTGAATTGACATCAAACTCATAAACCCAAGAATAAATTGCATTGCATATACTTACTGGGATTTCTTTTTGCCAGCCCCTAAAACAAACAGAAGGCCAAAACATTCATAAGACTAAAAGCTCATAACACCATATCGCTCATCAGCTGAGAAGTGTGCATTTGAGGTCAATTTCATCAAGGGAATGGTGAGGCAAATTCAGACAGAGACATTGCCTTGATGCCTTGTAAATAGCCATTTCATAATGCATTCTACAGCTGACAGAAAAGCTGATTCCTCTGATTGACTCAGGTGGTGAACAATCTTATCTGACTCACTGATGCATTAGTAACAAATAAGACTGTCATAAATGTTATTACATCAGGTTCTTCATGGTGGCTGGGAATTTCAAATACAAGAACACAGCATTCGTTTTTCAATCGTCAAAATGGCATTCTTTGTACTAAAATATGAAATATTTGATTCAGATGATAATTCAGATAATAGTTTCAGATTTAGATAATAGTCCAATTTAGATTAAGAACTTGCTTTATGCTAAGGCTATACAACATCCAGACTACAAATGATAAAAAGGCATTAGTTTGATCTCCAAAGCAAGCATTTTTGGTCACATGGGTGTATAGCACATGAGTAAGCATTATTTCTATTCACACGGGCCTTTTAATTAGCTTAAAAAAAGACCAGCTGAGTGAAAGAGAACGTGAATAAAAGTGCTAAAGTTAACTAATAGTGATGCCTATAAAAAGTAGTCATTATTATACTTTAATAATAAAAAACTGATACTGATTCTGACCTTTGCATTTCTATACAGAAATATCATTACATGGAAGTATCATGTCTCTCTAAACATCTAATCTGCTCCTGTATAACTGTTTCAACTGAATCACAAAGTGGTTCAAGCACTTGGGGAACAGAAAAATAATGTTAAAATACACTTACTGGACTGCGTTTCTGTGACCAGCAAAAAGGAAGAGAGAAGAGACACCTGGTCAGAAAGTGATAAATAAGTAATACAGACTTCGATCAAAAGCAACCTCTGTTCCTAAACATTTACCTGTATGATGTGCTTTAATAATGATATTCATTTAAAGATTCTTTCATTTTGAAACCCAAGGAAGGCAGTGACCATGTTAACAAGTCAAGATTCAATAATTAATTAAATCTGTTCATCATATAAAACTATCATACAGCTGGAGAAAATATGAAACACAAGTCATTTTGAGCACTTTTATAATACTTTTACTGCCTTTTGTGTCCTTTTATTAATCTTAAATGCTCCAATTCAAAATTCAGCCTTTTGCTTTTGAATGGCATGAGGGAAATTTTTCACGTAACTGTGAGAGTAACATTCGCATCACAATAAAGATCTCATCTTATGTTAGTGCCATTATAAATTATTTGGAAATACTCTGCTTCAAAGGGCACTTTTCCAGCTATTCTTAAAGGGGTGGTTCACTGATTTTTTTCTAGGATTGATTGTGTTTATGGGGTGCAGTCTAACATGTGTTAATGCTTCTTTTTTTTTAAAACGCATTATTTTTCACATAATTTACCTTTATTCCACACCGCTCTGTCCCTTCTCTGAAAAACGCACCGATCATTTCCTTCTTTTATGAAGCCCCTCCCTCGGAAATAGGCGATGGGCTCTGATTGGTTAGCTAGCCCAGTGTGTTGTGATTGGCTAAACCGCCTCTAGTGCCGTCTAATCATCCCGCCCCTCACCTCAGCGGCATGTGCTCCGGTTGTATTGTAAACAGCGGCGTCGTTAATATCGCTTATCAGTTTGAGCCCAGTTGACGCAGAACCTGTGCAAGCACGGCTTTTAATGGTAGACCTATGTTTTTTTTTGTTGTTGTCTCATACTTTTAGATACGCTGTTATTTGTAAATGCTACTGCTTATGTTAGCTTTTAATATGCAGTTTTATCCTGATTAAAGCTTTAATACAGTACGGCAACTGCACACGCGTCCATGTTTAACGCTTCTCATAGCTATGTGAAAATAAGTGTTTAATTGTAACAGTTCATTGTTGGAGCTGAGCTGAATGAGAGAGAGCGAGAGAGAGAGAGAGAGAGAGAAAGATGCAGAGCGTGTGTAGAGCAGGGGAACGCGAGGAACAGTATTGAGAACTGCTGCTTTAGAACATTGATTTTGAAACTTGTGAATCCATTAGAATCGTTAGAAGACAGAATCGTGATTCATATATGAATAGATTTTTATGTGCACCCCTAGTTTTCTCTTCCTCTTCTCTAAAGCAGCGCAGCATGGCCTCACCCTCTTTGCTGCCTTTTCCCGAGGGCGGGGTTTATCTGGGTTTGTGATGTCACGAACCCGGGAAGTAACTTCTTGTAGTCCCTACCAGCCGTTTTTGTAGGCATTAAACTGCCAGAATTTTAAAAGACGATATCTCCGTTTGCATTGAACTTTCAGCTTCGTAACTTTGCAGATAAACAGCAACATTACGCACTAACTTTAAAAAACTGAAATCGCAATGAACCACCCCTTTAAAAATGGTATTTATGCATATATTGCCAACATTGCACCTGTGCAGTGCTGCTTGTCTCAGCACTGTTTAGTCTTCAGAGGATCTAAAAGCATAGAAAGTATGTACTGCTCATGAGTCACTACGGAGAGATTGCAAAGATACGTCAAATGAAAAAATTGTGGTCATGACACCTCTGCACCAAATTCACAATCAGAATGGAAATGAAATGACATGAAAGTTAATTTTCTATGGACATACATTCTTGCTCACTCCAATTTAACCTCTTATTTCTTTTTTTTCCTATTCCTCCTTTCTTCATAGCATAGGAATAAGTCCAGGAACGAGGGTCTGAGTTCAGTCTGGCTCAAGAGTTCTGAGTGATTAGGGTGATGTACCAGTGGCAGTCTAATCCTATAGGCTGTAAGCAATGGTCACCACCAATCAGAGCCAAGAGTAGACAAGCCGAAAGACTGGCATGCAACCAAACACTTTAATGTAAGATTTGGGCTGATGACTAAGGCTGCCAATTAATTCAAATAATAAACAGTTCAACATTTTTGAAGTGAAACTGCATAAACACCAGATGCAAAAGAACATAATCAAAATTCATTGTTCACCTAAAAAAACTAATGTACAAGCACAGGATCCAAGCACATATAAGCACATTTTAATATACTGTACAATACTGGGTAGTAATTTAACTGTAATCTGGATTTCATAATCAGATTCCAGAAATTAAGTACTTGTAATTAGATTGTTACGTTTTAAAATACTGCTAATCAGGTTACAGTTACTTTAATATTGATTACATGTTATTCACACAATGGCAGTAAATTATTGATAATTTACTATAGTTAATTCTTTTTTAAATCATTTTTTAAAATACATTCAGACTTTATTATGATTTATTTTAATGTATTTAATTATACATATTTATGATTTGATTTATTACTAGCTTTTTCAACTTACGAACCCCCTGCAGTTAATATAATATAATGTAGGCCAATGTTTAATGCACTTCATGTCATTGATAATAAAGAACACAATATATTTTCTTTCTCTTTTTATTTCTATATTAATATGGTACAAGATTATCCTATTCAAATCAATGCGATAAATGTGTTAGGTCAAAACAAGTATTCAAAAATAATCAAAAAGTAGCCAGATTATATTACTTAATCAATTCTCAGTCTCATGGTGAAACTACAAACTTATTTTGTATCCCGTCCATGCATGTACAGTACACAGTATAGCCTGTACACATCTCTACAGGATATTGTCCATTTCAGCACCCACCAGTCCATCCCTAAACACCCAAACTGACCTTAGGTCAGTTCTTAATGGCATATCAAACACAGAGCATGCAACCTTCACCATGCCATATGAGAAACGTGAGAAGACGTCACTCCAAAAGAGTTAGACAAAGCATAAACAGCTTACCGGACTATTCCTCTATATCAGCCAGCAGACAGAAATAGACAGACAGGTAGATAGAGAGACAGAAGAAGAGGGAGCATGATTTACATTAGTATAGTGATGGTAAGCATGCACAAACACATTACAGTGAATTTGAGAGGAATGACATGGCAGAAATGTCTACAAACATAGATCACATTATGATGATCTAACACTATGCAAACCCATTTTGTCAATTTTTCAGTGTCAGCCACAGATATCGCATCCAGCACATAATATATCTCAGCTAATAAGGAGATCAGAGAATCAGGAATCAGATCAAGATCTCAGTGAGTGACCTGAATGAATGTCTGTACACTACTAAAAATAAAAAATCAACCACATGCTCATTTAACACATTCAAGGAATATTTCACCAACATTTTTTTATTTATATATTAATTACTTCCAACCCATATGACTTTCTTGTTTCCGTACAAGCACATATAATGATATACAGTAAAATGTTTTGTGTCAGTAAGAATTATTTTATGTTCTTGAAAGACGTGTCTTACAGTATGTATACAGTAATATTGTCAAATAGTTTTACAAATTAAAATAACTATTTTCTATCTGAATATTTTTTCAACTGTAATTTATTCTTGTGATGGCAACGCTGAATTTTCAGCGGCTATTATGTCTTCAATGTCATATGATGCTTAAAAAAATTTTAATATGCTGATTTTGTGCTCATGAAATGTTTCTTATTATTTTCAATGTTATGAAAAACATTTTGCTGCTTAATATATTTGTGGAAATTGTGATACATTTTACTGAATTCTTTGATGAATAGAACATTTAAAATAAAATAATTTATTTGAAATAGAAATCTTTTGTAACACTATAAATGCCTTCACTGTAGCTCTTCTGATAAATGTAATGAATTCTTGTTGAGTAAAAGTATTACTTTCTTTCTTTCATAAATAAATAAATAAATACTGACCCCAAACTTCTGAATGGAAGTGCAAAACTTCCAGTGTTCTTTTCCACACAACAACAACAACAAATGTGGACAGGAATGAGGCATAATAATGCATCATATTTGAACTGAATGACACTTGAAAGCTACTGCAAAGGGAGAAATGTTTTAATTAGTGATTATTTTGGTGTTTTCCCCTCATACAAAATGAATGCACGGCTTCAGAAAACTTATAATGCAGCATACAAGCCGTATGGCTTTATGGCGTTTTTAAATAATTTTTTGAGCTTCACAGCTCTAGTCTCCATTATGAAAAGGTTGGACAATGTAAAATATTTATACCCATGGATTTAATAAAAAGGGTTTGGAACAAGATTATGGTGAGTAACTAACATTTTTCTTGTTAGTTTGGGTTGAATTCTTTCTTTTAAAAATCCCTCCAGCTTGCTACATGTCTACATTCTGTCACACAGCTTGGAATTAAAGTCGAATGATCAAACTCTGACCACACCGTGTTTCCCATGTGTAGCATTATTAACTCTTGTTGGATGACTGCCCATATACAGGGGGCTTAATAAAGAAGCAAACCTTATCAATAAAACATGAATACTAGCTAGAACCCAGCACCTGGCCGAGAGGTGTGCTATATAAAGAACCCCCATGCCTTTGTTTTCACTCGACTATAACTCCACCGTTACATTTATCTCTCCCTGCGCTCTGGATGGCTGTCTGGCTGCAATATCTCTTCTCTGACTACACAGGTGAAGTACAGTAGAGAATACAACAAGCTGAACGAATTATCACACTACTCTGATAGAAGGAGAGAGCTCTCTATTTCTGTTGTTCAACCTTTGCTCACACTTTCTTCTGATGAGTATTCATGGCTAATACATCACCATGGTTACACACATACGCACAGGTTGCCATGGCACAGGATGGGCATGTGACTGATGTTTAATTCATGAGTAAGGAATGCCAGGCGTTCCAATATACTGGACAAAGTGGATTTCAGTCATTGAGGTCATAATAAGACTGCTTCAAGTGTGCTAATTTTCAACGTTAAAACAAAGAAAGTACAAGACATTAGGGTGATTTGCCTAAAAAAAATGAACCATTAGTTACATATATTTTATGTACATTTTGGGATATAACGCAAATACAATTTTTATTCAAAATTTCCATAAAAACATTTTTTATTTATTTACTGAATATACAGTACTGTTCAAAAGTTTGGAGTCGATTTTTTTTTTTTTAAGAAATGAATACTTTTATTCAGCAAGGATGCATTAAATTGTGACAGTGAAGAATTATATTGTTACAGAATATTTATATTTCAAATAAATGCTATTCTTTTGAATTTTGTATTCAAGGAATCCTGAAAAAAAAAAGTATAGTTTCCACAAAAATATTAAGAAGCACAACTGAACACATTTAAAAATCTTAACAACCCCAAACTTTAAACAGTAGTGTATTCCTAGATGCTTATCATAAATATCATGTTACTGGATGGAAACATAATAACTTTATCTTTGTGGTGCTTTTAAAGCTCTATTTGCTTGAGCATCCTGTTCAGCCCCATCGGCCAATTTCACACTTCTGGGTTTTGGCTTCCGGATTGACCCACGCTGGGTAAACTTATTTCCAGTAACAGCGATGGCTGAGCCTAACAAGAACCAGTCCACAAATTAAATATCATGAAAATGTTGGAACTGTCTTGGTGATTTATTGGTGAGACTACAAAGCTCAAAATGTAAGAATGTATTCTAAATGATGGCGCTTAACTTGATTATAACAACTGTGCAAGTACCTTTTCATGCAAATAATACATTATGACTGGAAACATAGAAAAATGGGTTATGCAGATCACACACTCTATATATAAATCTCAAACTCAGCTGCTAATGTGTTATGAAGGCTGTTTCCAGTTTATATATATATATATATATATATATATATATGTGTGTTTGTAAAATGGCACAGTTTTATAAATATCTGAAACTGTACTAATATATTTAATTTTTTTTTTTTTTTTTTTGTGGCTGTGCATTATCACACTCGATGTGAAAACTTCAGTGCTTTTCGCCATGTGCCGGGGAAATCATCGGCTAGCAGCTCCTTTCTCACACACACATCGGATCCGCTGATACATATTGAGAAGCCAGACCGCTCGCACCCTGGACGTGTATATGTTTGTGGACATCTATCATAAATGGCAACACTTCTGCCATCTCTCAATGATATCAATAATATTTCATCTTACTCACTCGCATATGCTCCTGTCTCAATCATCTTAAAATCTATAAATATGCACAGTATTATAAAATCCATTAGTAGTAGCATATATCGTTGTTATATGTTATATAACAACATGCTATATGTATATGGTGTTGCACATTTCATAGTCACTCTGCTTACTGCAGATTAATGCAAAGATTGTGAATAATGTATATTGTATACAATGTAGTCTTGGAAATAAATGATGTTTTAGTTTCATCATTTTAATCGAGCAGGATTAGTTATAATACATGCTTGAATGCGGGGTATAATGTCATGAGATTAATACATGCTATAGGACAGGGGCGCGGGAAGATGTTTTCGGTTGGGGGTGCTGTGTGTGTGTGTGTGGGGGGGGGGGCTGGTTCCCTTACGTCGGTGCTGGGGCGGGGGTTGCTTGAATGCCGATTTTGGAAAGTTTTTGCTGGGATGGGCATTTAAAAAAATCTGAAATTCGCTTTTGCGCCATTATCTCCTTGTTCGCATTCTGTATAGTTCATGTCTGATTGCGCTAGCGTCACGTGTTCATGAGGATTAGGCTAATCATCCCATATAGAAAACATCACAAGTAAAATTAATGTTTATAAAGATAAACATGGGTTTATTATAGCCCACTTACAATTTACATTTCAGAGATCATTACAAATAAATTATTAAATGCTAAAACTGAATAAATTTAAATGAACAAACTTGGCATTGCATTTGCAACCATGTGAAAACAGGGGGTGCTGCAGCCCCCTCAGCACCCCTACTTCCCGCGTCCCTGCTATAGGCTTATTATTTCAAGCATAAACAACATTAAGTAATCCCGACAGAATATAACGATGAAGACAACATCATATATAGATTTAAATAAGAAAAAGTTTAAGAGTCTAGAACTGGATCATTATTGCAGTGAATAATATGCTTCTGGCATGTTGTTTTTTTGGCAACAATTCTTTTAACCGTAATGAATGCAGTGTGTTTTTATTTCTCAAACACGTCAGAAGACGTATCCCCTATTTTCCGTGTTAATTTTTTACCGTAATCAAAGCTAAAGGTGGTCCAAAGTAATTAGTATACACACACAAACACACACACACACACACACACAAACACACACTACAGTTATATACCAATTCATATGAATTTGGCCTATTAGTTAACACAACACTGTTATATAAAAAATGAATGAATCAAAAATAAAAAGAATAACGATCCATGGAGGGAGTATCAGCTCATAAACTACACTTTTCAGGGGTAAAAGTGCTCAAAGTTCGAAGTGGTTTAGCATTCACTGAACATACTGAGAGAGAGCAATTCATAAACGTGCAGATTAAAATTTAACTTTGGGAATAAGAGCTAATGAAAACCCCAGAAAAGATAATTACTTTGTGATAGCTAAAGACCAATCTGAGTGCCAATTAATTTTAGGAACAAAGCAGAAAAAGAAACAACCCAGTAGGTGGTCCTGAGTTGTAGATCAGAGTAAGATTGATAAGACACAAAAAAGGGTTTGAAAGCACACTGACGGAATTACATGTATCTGTGTGCGTGAATAATTTAGTGTGCAAGTTCATCATGTGGCATGCTCTGGCCTGGCGGCCTGTGCTCTGTCAGTAGGCCTGCCGCTCCATGCAGTGGAGTCATTGTGCCCAGTTTCCAAGCTGAATTATTGAGAGAGAACGGAGTGACACTCCAGTGCGAGCCTCCACCTGAAACTCCTACTCACTCTGACTCCAGATAACAATAGTGAGTCAGATAAGACTCATCTACACCATATCTCATCTGAATGACCTCCGTAATAAGAAATTCAGATGACTTCACTGGCAAAAAGTTGTTAAAAGTCAGTGCTTCAGTTTGGACATCTTCTTTAACCGCACACACCATATGAACCAGATGTTCTCAGGATATTCTCTCTTGTGAGTTAACGAATATTTAAATTTGACAGTAAAATCTGATGGATGCTTAGGAGTACCAAAAGTGCAAAAAGTATCATTGTATTACCACACACTACTGTTCAAAAGTTTGGGGTTGGTAACATTTTGTAATGTTTTTTAAGACAATTCTTTTATGCTTACCAAGGCTGCACTTATTTAATACAGTGAAAATTTGAAATATTCTTGCAATTTAAATTTAGCTGTCTTCTATTTTAATGTATGTGACCCTGGACCACAAAACCAGTCATAAGGGTACATTTTTCCAAATTGAGATTTATACATCATCTGAAAGCTGAATAAATAAGTTTTCCATTGATGTATGGTTTGTTAGGATAGGACAATATTTGGTCGAGATACAACTATTTGAAGATCTGGAATCTGAGTATGCAAAAAAAATCAAAATATTGAGAAAATCGTCTTTAAAGTTTTCCAAATGAAGTTCTTAGCAATGCATATTACTAACCAAAAATTAAGTTTTGATATATTTAAGGTAGGAAATTTACAAAATATCTTCATGGAACATGATCTTTACTTAATATCCTAATGATTTTTGGCATAAAAGAAAAATCGATAATTTTGACCCATACAATGTATTTTTGGCTATTGCTACAGATATACCCATGCTGACTGGTTTTGTGCTCCAGGGTCACATATTTTAAAATTAATAAAAGTAGTTTATTCTTGTGATGGCAAGCCTGAATTTTCAGGAGCCGTTAATCATCTTCAGCATCACATGATCCTACAGAAATCATTCTCATATGCAGATTTGGTGCTCGAAAAACATTTATTATTATTATCAATGTTGAAAGCAGTTGTGCTGCTTAATATTTTTGTGGATTCTTTGTGAATGTTGTGAATTCCTTAATGAACAGAAATGTCAAAAGAACAGCATTTATTTTGAAATAATAATCTCTTGTAAAATCTCTTTACTGCCACTTTTGGCCAAATATAATGCTTCCTTGTTGAATAAAATAAAAATATGAATAATATTGTTTTGTTAAAGGAGTCTGTTTTGATCCAGTGGAGAATGTTTAGACATGGTTTGACCACACAGACATATTCATCTCCTAAATGCAGTATATATGACACACCTACAAAGACATTCTTGTTCAAGGTACATCCTAAAAATTCATTTAAAGCTCATTAAAACAGCTTTAACTAATAGGATGCAGCCATATAGACTGCTGAAACTCAAAAATGTTTTTAGTGAAATGGCAGGTAGGTGTTTTTGGACTACTAAAATGGCAGGCAGCTCCATCTGAACTGCTCACGCTGCTCTCTCAAGAAACAGCCTGCACAGTGTGAAAGCCTCATATTAACTAGACATCTACATGCAACACTCCACAAAAAACAAGCCATTTGTACTGTAAGCCAAGTCTGGCTTGTGGCTTTTGTCATTATGTGACTATAAAATTGAGCTGACAAGGTTAATAAAGAACCTAAAGCACTTCCTCCATTTCATGAGCTTTCTTATACAGTACAAATAAAATATGCAACAGTGCAACAAGCTGTTTCCTCTCCTTACTGACAAACACAAAGTGTCCATAAATTGCCTCTCAAACATGCACTGAGAGTTACAGTCAATATGAATCAGAAAGGGCAGGCGTGATCTTGACCCAATAGGCTTACTCACAGCATGACAGCAAAAAAATAAAAGTATACATTCACTGTAGAAGTACCATGGAATACTATATATCTACATATAATATATAAGAAGTTCTGAGTGATATGGCCAAAAAAATTATCACGATAAAATTTGTACAAATAAGATTTGTACTCTTAAGTGATAACTGTAGAAACCAGATCGTTTGGTTTTAAACTACTCTTTATGGTCAGAACATTACAAACACTTCACGTTTTTGAATTCTTTACACTTTTCCAGTCATTTTTCCTTAAAATAAATATCTCAATAGAAAAATTAATTTCTTAGTTTGTGCATGTTCTAATGAGTGATATTGTTTCAAATCATGAAACAGATTTGTGTTGAAATGCACATTTGACAGTAGCTTGAGTTGGCAATGTTCACTTATGTTCATTATCAAAAACAGTAACATCTGTAAATATTGTAACAACCTGATTTTTATATGGTGAAATTTAATTATTCAGATTGTTTGAGTTTTATTAAAATTAACCATTGGTCTTCCATAGTAGCATACATTTAGATCATGATAACCATGGTTAAAAACACACATATAGCACCTCAATACCATGGTAAAAATGTGATTATATGGTTTCTAGGTATTTGTATTAAAAGCGTAGTCTAAATACGTTTAGTATAAATGCACACAAATGCTATAGCTTAATCACAAGAAATACTGTAATTATATTCCATTACTCCTTTAATACATTTAATACATGTCTGCATTAATAATATAATAAAATTCTATATAAACCCACATTTCTGCCACAATACCATGGTGCAGCTAGTGTTACTACAGTTTGTCAGTTTGTCAGTAAATCTATGGTAAACGATGGTGATTTGTAGATTGAAAAGCCTTCTGACTGTACCGTTGCGCACAGTGTTTCTCCTGTTTGTCAGCACTGTTTCATTCAGTTTTAAACTAGTTTAAATCACCAAGTCATTTGTGCTCTTCGCTGAATTCAAGCGCTTCACACTGGATCTCACAGCGCTGTTTAGTGCTCATGACTGAGACTTATCAGCGAGTAATCGCATCTGCTCTAGTGAGCTCGTGCTGCACTGCCGTTTGAACTTTGTGCCGAGCGGATAAATGGTCCGTGTGGCTCAGTTAAAATAGTAGCACTGTTTTGTTATGCTTTTTGGCGCCTAAACATTATACCGAACATTTATTGAACTCATGTTATCGTTTTATCGTGGAAAATTATATAACAATAATTATTGTTTTATCGCCCAGCACTATATATAAGCCTCATGGTACTTTCACAATTAGGGCTGGGTATCGTTCAAAATTTTTCGATATCGATACCTTGACTTCGATACCGGTTCCTGAACGATACTTTTTTCGATACCAATTTTATGAAATCAATTTTAACAAGATTACATTATCTAAAAAAAAAACTTTGGTTTTATTTTTCAGCTTGTTGATGTTTATACAAACTCAAAGACTCATCTCCTGAGCCACTGCACAAAGGAACAAAATGTAACCAACACAATAAATCAGTGCAAAATAGTTTTAATAAAGCTCAAATAGTCTTCAGTTTACACATCTGTTAGGCTACATTTACACTAGTTAGTGTTCGTTTTAAAACGCATAGCTCAGACAGAATCATGATTTCTATTTATTTTCCACTGATTTACTGATGAGCATTAGCAGCTTCCAGCGCTGTCTGCAGCAGACTGCTCCGTGTGCTTTCGAATCGCTCTCGCGGATGATCGATCTGCGCCGCGCCTCTAGTCGAACACACCGGCAAGTGCTGCAGGCTTATTGGCTCACTGACGCTGATGAGATTAACCCCTTAGGTATCGAAATTTGGTACCGAACGACAAGACGTTTTTCGATACTCGATGGTATCGAGGCAATTCGGTCGGTGCCTAAAAAGTATCGAACTCGATACCCAGCCCTATTCACAATATCTTTTTGTAAGGGATGTCAAAATAAGTACAAAATACAAAATATATAACACAGCAGAGACTATTGAGTCATGTGATATTAAAGTAAGAAAAGTGACAGGAAACAACATCATAAGCTTGAAATGCATGGGAAACATTGGCTGGACTCACCAGAGGCGAGGGAGACAGAGCTATGTTGCCAATGGAGGCTTTTAATTCATCCACCGAGGGAGCTGCAATGTTATGGTCTGCTGGCAGCGGTCTGATTTTGATCTTAAACTTTTTGCGGTGGTCCTCCTCTTCTTCAGACTCACTGGAGGAGAAAAAGTGAGACTTTTCTTTGGGGGCTGGTGGAGGGCTGTTAAGGGATCACAGCTTCATTTTCTTTCACAAAAATTTATTATAATAGTTAAAAATGAAATAATAAAATTTTCATTGCTTATTGATAAAATCAAAGATTCAAAAATGTAATCACAATAATTTATGGCAAAATTAAAGGATATCTCCCTCATCCTCATCTGGTCTGATGCTATATCCTTCTTCATCTACCTCAGGCGAGTTCTGCAAAAGAAAAGAACTGAAGTCAGTCAGTATTACAGATGCAGTGGATGGTATTTTTTTTTTATACAAACAGCCATTAATGCAGCAGGCTTGAGCTGTCATGCTTTGCTGAGTATCATCAGGGTATTAAAAATTATGTACTTACATATCTGTCCCAATCAATCTCCCCGTAGAAGCCATTTGGAGCCCCATTGGTCTTTTTCTGTGGCTGAGCAAATCAAAACACAACTTTAGTAACATCACTCAGATTCACTGATTTCTAATTAGATGAGTTTGGCCTATTTAGGGGTGCCGCTTGGGGGAATCTACAGGTGCTTAGTGAGTATTCAGTTCTAGCGTTAGACTTCAAGCTATATAACTGTGCTGTCTCTATGTTCAGTACCGATTCAGTCTCTTGGGGCTCCTGTGCCATGGACATCCATCATACAGAAAATAAAGACATCATTTGAATTATTAAACTTTTTCACCATGTCAGATTATTTATATTTCCAAAAAGGCTTCACATGAAAAAAACTTGTTTACATTACCACTTATTACACAGCCCTGCATCTTTAAAAAATATTTTACTGATTTGCAAAACAGGCCTAGCATTACCTAATTTGATGATGCTGAGTTCAAAAATATCAAAACAAAACTTTGTTCTTTTGCAAGATTTTTCTTAAATTATTAGTTTATAAATAAATATGCTTTTTTTCTCCACAAAATCTGTAATTTTCTGTTGCTGACTGGATGTAGTAAAATGCCCAACAGATGTAGCAGAAAACATCTGGGTTATCTTTGCATTTTCTTTTGTCAATGGCTATAATTCTAACCTTAAAAATCATTCATACATGTGACAATCGTCTGAGCATTGAACAAATAGTTATAATCTGGCTAGAGAAAGATAGGAATCATGTCTTTGTTTTTCTAGTGATTAAGGGATAACACAGGGGTTCTCAACTCTGGCCCTCGAGATCCACTTTTTTGCAGAGTTTAGCTCCAACCTTGATCAAACTCACCTGCTTGTAACTTTCTAGCAATCCTGAAGACCTTGATTAGCTTGCTCATGTGTGTTTGATTAGGGTTGGAGCTAAACTCTGCAGGAAAGTGGACCTCGGGGGCCAGAGTTGAGGACCCCTGGGATAACACAAGACTTCTTGTTTTGGCTGTCGGAAGCAAAAATGCTATCAAATGCACATTATATTCTGTGACAAAATGTGACATGCTAGAGCAAAATGTTTGGGATCAGTTTTGCACTGAAATTTTTCTAAACCATTGTGAGTAAATATTTCACTTACTGGTCTTCGATGATAATTAATTTTTACCATTCAAAGAATGCAAATGACTCAACTTTTGTTAAATCTCATTTGGGCTTATTTTACAGATAAATTACCCATCAAAATGTCTTTCATCATTACAAATGGGTGATAAATGATAAATGGGTGGTCTGCTAGGGTCTTTTGTGTGTGTGTGTGTGTGTGTGTGTGTGTGTGTGTGTGTGTGCACGTGTGTGTGTCTAATTAGCTCCAATTAGCTCAGAGTATTTCAATACATAATTTCTCAGAAATCACAAAGAAAGGAGTGAACTGAATACACACATTGTTAAACATTTGATTAATTGCATGTTAATCATTAACTTTGGCAGCCATAAATAAAACAAATATAAATTCAAATTCCAAAATACAAATAATAGGAAATCTGTCTCTTGAAACAATTCTGCAAGTTAAGAGGTACTTACTCCACCATCTCTGTCTGGTGACCCCCTAAAACAGAGAAAACAAAAGAAAGAGACAAAGAGAGAGACAGAGAGGTCTTTAATACCCACTTAACATGCAAGCCTCTCTTTTTTTCTCAACTCAAGCACAGAAGCAATTAGCCAGGCTTCGCTCTGAGGGACAGAAACACCTGTGTGTTGGGCCCCAAACAGACACACACTCTCAAAACAGCCATCATCTATAGCACCCTGAAGCAGGAGACAGGGATTCATAGTGTGCAAGCAGCAAATGCTCCATTGTGTTGATGGGTTTGTGAGAGAACTCCATCGGCCTGCCTTAGGAAGCTCTACTATTATAAATTAATTAATCCTGTAAAGCCTGACATATGAGATAATAGACAAACAAACTTTCATTTTCATTTTTTTTGTAATGGAACAGTTAATTTAACCTTTAGACAAAATCTAAAAATAAAATCTTAAAAAAGGTTGCATATGAGCTTTTGTTGAGCATCATATTCAATACATTAAGCCTTTACAGCTCACACAGCATGCTATAAGAGAATGTGGAGGTCATAATTGTGGAGAAAAAAAAACGTCAGTTTTATTCAGAGCCCCACATTAAGCAAAATATGTAATTTAGTGCAATTACTTCAATTTTTAAGGCCAAAAAGTAAGATATAATTCTTATAGTTTATAATGACCATGAGATCCATGTTAATATTACTGGCATAAATTGTATATAAATATTATTTTCTGTATTTTTATTAAGGAGGACAAAATATAATGCAATGCAATACAATGATGACAAGAGATGTACAAATAAATGTTTTTTAAAAGCCTGTTGTATCATATTTGATTACATTTTAACATGATTATTTAAAAAAAATAATAATTTATAAGTAAGTAAACCTAAATGTTCATCTTTAAATATTACTAAAAATATATGTTATTCTTACTTTTACCTTATAAAAATCAGTAAAGACTAAATAGCAAAAAGAGACATGTACTATGACCTGAAGGGGGACGATTTTAGAATTATACTAAAAGGTACGTTACTTGCTAAAAAAGTATAAACTATCAATCAAGATGTCAGAAGGCATAAGGCTGTGTAAAACAGGTTTTTCAGCCAGGTTCTGATCATGTTGATATTTTAGAGGCCTTAGAAATTTTCATATCAAATATGATACATCAGGCTTTAGGGGTAAATTTCTGGTATATAAATTAGTCAAACTTACGTAGAGTCAGTGTCCTTTTCTTTCTTCCGTATCCCGAAGGCCTTCCTGGTGCGTTTTTTCAATCCTGTGGTGTGGGGAGATGTTGTTATTTGTCTGATTTGATATGGCTCAAAAACACACAGTACATCCTCAGAGACACAGACACATAGCATCTGATGAATTTACAAATGTGCTGTAACTGTGGGTGTGTGTATCTGTGTGCCTGTGTGTGTGAATGTAGGTGGGTGGATGTTTGTAAAGAGACAATGCTGAAACGGCTCATGTCCAAAGTCAAATGACATTTTAGATCAAAGAATGAACTGAATACATTATTGAATCACACTGTCGACTGCTGATACAAAATTGATTTCAGCATCACCAACATTAGAGACAGAAAACATTTGCATTAAGCACATTCACCAAAAAAACAATAAACTAAAATGTAAAAAAAAAAATGAATCATTGTCACAATGAATCTGTTCGAAAATTCAGTTTCCAAGGTATCAAGGTAGATTTTAGTCAGGGTTTAAGGTTAAACTGTGTTCTCAGGAAAAGGGTATTAATGTCAGACTGAAGTTCTCACATTGATATAAAGGTCATATATCACACATTTAAATGTTGCAGTCTTATATATGCCAGTTTAAAAAAATATATATATGTGATGTGTGTGTGTCAGTTTTTTATTTGTTTATATAATAAGCTATTTTATGAAATATGCTACTGGAAACACTATATATATATATACAGTGGGTACGGAAAGTATTCAGACCCCCTTCAATTTTTCACTCTTTGTTATATTGCAGCGTAATCAGATTACTCTTTTCAAGAAACTAGTAAAGTAATGCATTACTTTTTAATGTTAAGAAAATATCTGAGTTATACTTTTTCAAATAAGTAACGCCAGTTACTTTGTTTTCTCATGTACTGACTGACAGCTCTCCTGTCCCCATGTTGAGAGAAATCAGGAGTAAGTGCAGATTACTGTAGTTATGTATTTATTCATCTCACTGCACAAAAACAGATTCAATATTCCTCAAAGTGAATAAAAACAGTCAAATGCAAACTCAGGACATGACGCAAACATGTTAAATAACACACATATCCTCTATGTATTTAATTCCATTTTATTAACCAGTAACCTTTGCTGCTGACCTTCAATGATCAACCATACCAATGCGCAAAAATGACTTTAGATAAATATAACATTTGTGTTTCTTTTTTCTTTTTTGTCTCTGAATAGAGAAAAATTAGGCCAAGCCAGAAGAGAAAAAGTAATGCAAAAGTAACGTAATGCATTACTTTCCATAAAAAGTAACTACATAATGTAATTAATTACTTTTTTAGGAAGTAACGCAATATTGTAATGCATTACTTTTAAATGTAACTTTCCCCAACACTGTATGTATGTATATATATATATATATATATATATATAATATTTTAACTTATCAAAGTGCCATTGTAGATCATATTTCAAATCAAGACCAATAAATAATAGGTTCCCATTGTGACAACATGCCTAAAGAGTGTTAAATCAACAGTCCTTTAGTACACAGATGGTGGTTTCAGTGGCTGTTGTTTTGTAGCAAAGACTTTAACCTAAATGTCTATACAGCAATTGACTTTCAAAAATAACCCCAGACTGAATAAATATTCTCTGGAGTAAAATGAATCATGGTCCCCATATAATTTAAATAGTCAAAACATCCTCAAACCAAATTTACAGTAAATACCCATATAGTCATGAGGACATGATTGTGTAGCAGGGGCATATCCGCCTCACAGCTATGGGGCCTGCAGGGCTCTGAGTCAGGCATTGATCCACTCAAGCCTCTGCAGCAACAGGGAGCTCCAACATGGCGGATGGCATTATTGATCTTTACTAAATATTTCCTAACACATCCACAGGCTCAAATGCTGCTGTCTGGCTGAGAGCGAGAAGACAGAGAGACTCTATTTCTCAGAGCCATCAAAGAAAATTCCCAGACATTGCCTTACATGTTCCACTGTTCTTTACACATTCCATCTAAGCAAATGTTCCTTTTGTCTAATTAAAAAACAAGTCAGTCAATAATATAACTAAGGAGGAGCAATTGTAAAGGGAGTTCACAGCGGAGAGGACGGTCAGTGAAGTGTGCTACAAAAAGACAAACAATGACGCAGAAAAGATACAAAATTGAACATCAGGAAATTAGTCGCTCTACTTCGTGCACTTCAACTAGTCATGAAGTGATGACTCAAAAGCTTCACAGGGTTGTGCATGTAATTAAATGTACAAAATATACAAAATATTAAATACACAAATCCCCAGAGGTAAAAGTGTTAAAGACTAATGTGAAAACAGAAGCTGACAGCCTTATTCACAGATCTGCTCTGTAAAGGGAATAAAACAGGTCAAGGAAAGACCTGAAAATGGACTTGATCCAGGCCTTTTGAACACCTGAATGTTTTAGTCATTTGGGCAGGACTCTTTTTACAGTTCGAACTGCTACTATCCAGTTTGTATCTTGTTGTTGTTATCTTGATAAAAAGTTATCTTAATTTATGGAATTTAATATATTTAATATATTAAAACATTTTATAAAAAAATATAAAGTATTTATTTTATAACTTATATATTTTAATATATTTATTTTTAATATATAGGCAAATTAATATATAATACATAATTATACAATATAATTTATTTATAAATTAAATAAATAAATAAAAAAAAATTATATATGTTTTTGGTCAGGTAGCTAAAGGGTGCAACCAAAAGAAATAGGTACAAAAGAACAAAAATAAGAAACACTACCAATAACATATTTTTGCAGCTTATACAATATCAGAGTGGCCTAACAAAGTAACAAAATTATCAGTTAAGGGCATTTTCCTTATACTGTTTATATCTCCTTGAAACTTAACATGCTGACAACTCTCAAATCATGTGTCTAGCAGAACAATTCTGATATGAATCAGGCTTAGACTTTTTTGCATTTACCATTATGATTGCATTAAGTGGACTATTACATAATCAGGATCTTCTGGTAGAGTATGGTATGCGGGCCTTTATAATGCTACAGAAGCAATCCAGCAGTTTTGCCTTTCAGGGTGGATAGATTAATAATATGTTTATAGTCAAAGAGCTCTTGAGACAGGTTTGAAGCAATTAAGATTTTATGTAATTAGTGGTTAGGTTGTTTACGCTATTTTAGGCAGAAAAAATAATTGTTTTGCTATGAACAATATACTTAAGGGATGTAATTCAGTAAGCAATAGGTAGTAGTTCAAGGCTGTTCAGCCTGGATGAAAGATTTCCATGCTCTTAAAAGAGTAAATTTGATGAAAACAGATGCCACCCTTACAAAAGAGAATTGCAGAGGTACCATAATGCAATGGTGGCATCAAAAATAGCAACATGATACTTTGAAATATGTCACTAAATGATTAGCAGTTTCTCGCACCATGGCACTTTGCAAAACATGCTAGTTTTTGCTACTTTGTTGTTAGTGCAAGTCAAAAGAGCTCTTAAAAAAGCACTGCTGCGTCATCTTTGGTTCACATATTTCAAGCTCTATCAAGCTTTAAATCTGAACCCTGACATATCACAATTTCACCTAAATCCACATACTGGCAAACACAAAAGCAACTACAGTTTATCAGTACAGTTTGGGATGCATTCGAACAAGCTGCTAAAGCAGATTATGGCCTCTGAGAACACACAAACTCCAGCGTAGTCACACTTTCCATATAAGCTAACCCCCATGAGATGGCTTAAGTCTATTTTTTGACAACAGGGATTTCTAAACACAGCATAACACTAATTAATGGCTATGAAAATAATAGCATTCGCATGTAAGCATGATGATGGAAGTGGTAACGTGTTTACCAGTAGCTAACTCATGGAGTGAAGGCCAGAGAAAATGACAGCGCTAACCGTCCAGGGACAAATCTTAAGCAAACAGGAAAAGTAGTGGTTAACAGCAACAAAGATTAATTGTAGGTGCCACAGAGCTGGCAATCACCTGTGACATCAGTCCAACTCATGTTTAAGAAAGATTTATTTTCTTCATTCTGCTACTATAGCCAAGAAAGTTTTCTGGAGCTTCCTGGAGTTTTTTACCCAACAAACACTACTGTAAATGCTAGAGACATGGCAATATTCCATCACAAAGAACTTTGTCCACGTTACCAAGTACAGATGACATCATATAAAAGCATGCAATATAGTATAAAATACAATACAGTAGAATACAATTAAATACAGTAAAGACAGTAATATTGTGAAATATTATTACAATTCAAAACAACTCTTTTATATTTTAAAGCAAAATTTTCAGCAGCCATTACACCAGACTTCAGTGTCACATGATCCTTCTGAAATGCTGATTTGGTGCTTAAGAAACATTTCTTATTATTATCAATCTTGAAAACAGTTTTTGCTGCTTAATATTTTTGTGGAAACCATGATACAGTACAATTCAAAAGTTTGGGGTAAGACAGAATATAGAAATTAAGTCTTTTATTCAGCAAGGATACGTTAATTGAATTGAAAGTGGCTGTAAAGACATGTATAATTTTACCAAAGATTTTAAATAAAATGCTGTTCTTTTGAACTTTATTTTTCATTAAAGAATCCTGAAAAAATTTACCATGGTTTCCACAAAAATATTAAGCAAAATATTAATCTGTAGTCAACAACATTGATAATAATAACAATAATTCTGCTGTGCCATCACAGAAATAAATTCCATTTTATATATACATTATATATAATGTAATTATAGTCTTGGTGAACATAAGATACATCTTTTAAAAACATTTTAAAAACTCATAATTATTCCCAATTTTTGAAACAAGGTTGTGTGTGTGTGTGTGTATTATATATACACCAAAATAAGCATTAATGTGTCAGTCCATTCTTTATGAATATATATAATGTAAAGTATAAAGGGAACTCGCAAAAGAGAACTCCTCTGAAGAGGAGAACATCCTGCAAAGCAAAAACATTGTGCAATAGTTTTATATAGATAAACACAGACCTCAATAATGATGACAATCAGCAATCACCATATAACAATTAACAACTGACTACTGAATCAA